AATAGGAATATCCTGTTATCTATTGTACTTTTTCTTGAAACAAAACACTGTTAAGACATGCCTTGTTTACCGTCCTGTCGAGTTTTCATCTCAGCCCCTAAAGCCCGAACATCTGTCAAGTTTCAGTCTGTTATAAATTTGTTTACGTCACTGTCCCACTCATTAGAATCAATTGGCATGTTTTAAACGACCACAACAATCATTTACTCATTGCTGACATTTCAGATAACATATCAAATAAGAGTTGAAGACTTGCAATAGATTACAACACGTTAATCGAGAGTACAGTGTACATCAATAATTTGTAAATCTAATATTAATTAGATCTAATATCCATGGAAGAATGTTGGAAATACGAGCTGTCGCGTTATGATAATATATTCAATTTTCTGAGGAGATTAGTAACGTGTATTTTATGATAAATATGCATACACATTTGATTATCAATTATCTTTTACAACCACAGCATGTACCATGTACATTAGACTATACTAATCAGCAAACCAATCACAGCGCCATCATCACAGTTTCAATGAAGGGAAAAACAAAATTTAATCCAAATCGAACCCAATCTCATTAAAATCAGATCTTAATTCTCGCTACCGCTAAACAAAGATCTGAGGACATCCCATTACGTGTCACGTCAGACCGACCTTGCGCGAACTTTGACCGACCAATGGAATGACCAATCAGAAGGCAGCTTTCTCGTGTTTTACGGCACTAATTTCAAATTGGCGACTACGTACGCTTCGAAACATATTTTGACAAATTCTCGATTACAAATTATCTATCGTTCGGAGTTAAAGTTTTCGAGGTTGCATGATTAGAAATCCCAATCCGACTGTCACTTTCATAATCTGGTAAGCGATGCTCTGATTAGTCGGATGAAAGATTGTTCTGATGTCCTCAGATCTTTGTTTAGCGGTAGCGAGAACTGAGATTTTAATGAGATTGAATCGAACCTTACAGCACATCGTATCCATAAGCGGTTAACCCAAATGCAAAAAAAGGTATTGCTGTCATCATTGTAGAAGTTATGTAAATGTTTTCAGTAGTTGTATTATGTTTGTATCGCGTGTACCATCGACAGAAACGGGGGCCGAGCTACCACATTTGAAACCGGCCTTGACACAATTTGTTTACAATATAGCGTTGACTCACGTTAGATGTCGTTGCAACACTTATGAAATCTCCTTTTGCGACAAAATGTGAAACAGTTTGGGCAAGTCACTCACACGGTCAGGTAGTTTGATCAATCACACATGACTCTCTGTCATTTCAAAAGTAGCAGTTATTTGTCTAAACGGGGCAACCAGTAGACAAGAAATCGTGGCACAGATATGATGGCCTTGCCCGGCATAGCGATCGTTTTTCGAACAAACATTTACCGGTTAGATCTTACTTTTTGTTCATCTGTTCTTACTTGTTCATTGGTCATAATGTTATCTAGTCTTTGTGCAAACATAATTAACAGTCTACAGCCATTCACTATGGTTCTTTTTATTTTCAGATACTGAGACGGAGAACGTCAACGTGCCGCTGACCCTGCACATGACGCATGTTTGTATTCTATGTCTGTAGGCCTAGAATGAGTGTAGGATTAATAGATATATCATTGGGGAAGCATCTAATTTCATCTATATTATTAGTGTTAATTAACTTGTTTTTGCTGAAAGGTCTGTGTTCTGGGTTCAAAGTGAGGTCCATTTCTAGCGTTCGCTCCATTGTGAGATATGGCCCTCGCACTAATTCACTACATGCCGTCTTTTTTTGTTTCTTGTTGTTGTTGTTGTTGTTGTTGTTGTGATTAACATTGAGGGAATATGTAGACATGAGATTAATAAAGGATCACAAAGATTATTGTGCATCCGGCAAATCTTTGCAACCCTGTAATATGTCAAAATATCAGTACCAATTTACAGATTACTTTATTACTACGGTATCCAGGAGGGCTGTGTCCTGCCACATTCAGGACATTTGAGGTGCAACCCTTGTTAGCCAATCAGGTATGTTGTATTTTAACCCTATACATGTTGGGAATTACATTAATTTATGCTGGCGTCATTGTTATACAAAGGCTAATTGTTGTATAGATTTAGCACAAGCTAAGCACATGTGCTGTGAACATTTATCTTTATGCAGTGTCATCCTGATAAAGTCACTGATAACAAAAGAGGAATCATCATACATCAAATTAAATCATGGATGTCATGATATGAAATACCACATTTGTAGTATTATCGGTACCTCATTATATCAGTCTTTCCTCACTGGATTATCAGCTGACACACTGTGATATTACTGAAACACTGTTCTCAGTTGCATTAAGCCAACTCAACCATTCACTATGCAAACTCGCTGACCTGATTATGGCAATTGTGAAAGTATTACTTTCCTTCATACCTTAGGCCATTTATTAAGTTATGAGGTGTAAGTTGGTATACTGTAATCAAACTACAGGCTATCATGAATACAGAAATATCCAATTTGAAATCAAATGAGCCTATGTCATGGTGCATTATCTGTCATCTGTCCATTGCTAACTTGTACACTTTCAAAACCTCCTCTGAATCTACAAGGCCTATGAAACTGAAATTTCAGCAATGATATTTCTAAAACTTGAGGCCATTTACAAAATATCACTTTTGCGTATTACACAGCCATTTCTGATGTGACATTATGAAACTTGATACGTGTTAGGGGGTTTACATTTTTGGTGCATGTTTTGCTTGATCTGGAAGGAACATCTTAGATATTTACCACTTGGTGAAACCCACCAGTGGGGAAATGGTGCTGACAAACCAAAGAAAATAATCAGGGCAATTCTGTGATTTGAACCCATTGTCATAGATGCAGCTTAGTCTGTATAAATGTATAATATTGATAGAAACAAATAAGTACATTTTAATGTAAAAGTAGACCCAGTGAGATGGGCTGGGCGGAAAGGAAAATAATATGGTTCAAGGACGGTGAGACAGACAGGGATGCAACTCTGCCCAGAAAATTGAGGTGGCTTCTTGGATGCCTGTATCCCCTGTGCCGTCTAAGGCCTTATACTTTCACGTACCTCATTTTATGAAGTTTGTTTGTGTTTTCAATATCTTCTCTGAAAGTCATATTTTCAATAAGCTGAGATTTTGTGTATTTGATCCCACTAACATGATGCCAATACAACTTCCAGCTGTCTAGACATGGCAACCATATTGAATATATACTTTTCACCCTTTAGAAAGCCACTTTACATTTACATTATGAAATTTGATATACAGTAATTATTTGGTAAACCCAACAACAGGGTCATATTTTGCAAGTTACTCTTATATTTGGAACTGTAACATTTTGTCTTCATGTGCTACTGCAGCAGTCATGATGACTTTGTTCTTTTGACTCATTTCATTACCACTTATTATCCCCCATTACAGTGCAGAGTCTGGTGAGTCCCATCATCATGTAAAGAGTCAGAATATAATATAGCAGTTGCCCTTATTAGTCTATAGCAATTTGTTATCTGCAAATAAAATAAAAAATATTGGACATTACTATTTAACTGGATTAGGAATTCCACAGAGATTACATCAGTACGTAAAACATGATTTTAACAGAATGATTAGAGAAACAAGATGATATTTTTTAGATTAGAAATTGAATTTGTCCCCAGTTTTAAGAGGCTTGGGTTAACCCTGTAGTGACCAGGCTCCATGGTCCAGTGCACAACATTTACAATGTAGGTCTAAACTAAACAGGGGGCCCTAGCACTTAACTGTACATCTTCCACAAACAGCCTGTCAGCTGAAAAGGAACATAGCAATTTTCTTTATAATGTTCAATTCTTCCAATCCAGGGGCGAAGAGTTTTAATATTTATAATATTAATAAAACACATATACTTAAAATTTATGCTGACATCCCTAGCACCGGTTAAAATGATGGTGACTCACTCGTATTATTTTTCCCATTTCTATTAGACTGGAGACAGTTGTTTCAGAATATGATGAGCAAACTTGACTCTTTTAGGTAATATTATCAATACACCAGGTAGGCACCTTTCACAAACATAACTTGAGATAGACAGAGATGAGTTCAACAAAAAATACCACAACAAGGTAGTGCACATTTAGCTCAGTTGTGAGGAAGATACTGATTTTACAACAAAAGTGGACACTTTCTAACACTTTTTACAAACATACATATCCTGAAGATACCATATTAATTGTATGACAAAGCATGTGCAGATAGTTGTGGGAATCTTGGTTTGTGTCTCTTACAAACTGATACAATGATACAAACAGTCTGTATTCATAATAATCAATACAAATAGCATGTTATAATAGTATAAGATTATTTAAAAAATTGTACTGTATAACTTTGTTTGTTGTTTAATGCTGTACTCAGCAATATTCGTGCTTTGACAGCTGCCTGTAAATAATCAAATCTGGACCTGACGATTCAGTAATTGACATCATGATCATCAATCCATGCAAATGGAATACAATGATATGCATCAACAAAGTCTGTGAGCCTGACCACACAATCACGTTAGTAGCCTCTTATGACAAGGATAGTCACCTCTTAAAACAAGCATGGGTTGCTGAAGACCTATTCTAACCCTGATCTTCACTGGTAAATTTGTATAACTAAACATGCTGAAGAGGTGCCCATGATCATGTGGCACTTGCCGCACTTGCCGCCAAGACAATGCCAAGAACTACAGTAACAATATTCCCTCTATTTGGGTACAACACAAATTGACTAAAACACTGAGAAATATGCACACTTGCTCTTAGTCCTAATTAAACTGTGCTGTTACTGTACAGACAAATCTTATTTTGGAATAATCTGAAATAACAGGAAAATGACAAGGATTAATGCAGGCCAGTAGACAAAGTGAAAAGAAAAAAAAGAAAGATTTTACACTGCCATTCAGATCACTATTTAAAAACTACACTATGTTGTTTTTTGTGTGTATAATGACATTATAATTGGGGATTCAATTATACTTACTAAAACATGATGTTGCCAGCAGTGCACACTACTGTTCATGATAAGGTATTCTAAGTTCTGTCCATTGCTCATAGACAGATGTAGTGTCTGCTACTGTCAACAAAAACATTCAAACATTACACCCTACACTAAACGAGTTAAATGGAGATATATTCATAAATAAAATGGTTTTTTTTCAGACATTCAGTTACCAGTGGATTACATGCTGTAGGCCTAGTCATAATCTTATGACAACGCAATTATTCAGGTATAAATGGATAAATTTGATTTTGTTGACAGAAGTTGCAAACACACAATACAGATTATACCAGTGAAATTAACTAACAGTAGGAAATTGGTGATCATGACTTGTTATAAAGTTTATCAGCCTCTCTACTATCAACAAGCATTTACAAAACAATCACTTTCACCAGCACTTTGAGAATACCAGGGTCACGTGCTGGTGTTTTAGAGCATTTTCAGCTGTTTGGGACTTTAGAGCTTGAATAACTTTTCTGCCTCCGATGCATACTGCTGAAATGTAAACAAAATATGATATATCTGTAATAGTATATATATGTAAGCACTAATTACTAGTAATTACTACTAGTTGGACTAAAAAAAACGAGCGAGTATGAAAAGGAACGTGACCCAATCGTCTTTGGACGCAAGTGATTCACCTCAAAACATGGGCGCTTGATACCAGGCAACAACTCCAATACAATAAACGATAGGTAGTAGACCATACTGTAGCGGTAAAGCACTCTTTTGTTTAGAATAAACGGCATTTAAGATGCGTGACCTTGCTTGTGCACGTCGACGTTGTTTCTAGGGACGCAAAGAATGCAAGGCTGCCAGAAGAAAACACGCACGACATTACGTTCCCATTTGTGGCAATGGCAGGGATATTAAAGAGTATTTATTGTTATGAAAAAACTCACGTTTGTTGTGCTCTATTTAGAGAACAGACGTGTCCTTACACAACATGGCGGCGGATGATGATGCATGACGAGGTCATGTGACCAGCTGGTGATGTAATGGTCAATGGCTACCTTATAATTTTTGTCATGATAATGTATTCTATTTGTAATTATTTAACAACCACAGTATATTTCAGGTGCTACTTCTACATCTTGAAAGCTAGCTGGTTACAGGCTGAAGTTGCTCTGCGGTAATCTTTTTATTTTTCTGTTGAGACAGAGCCCGGCTTGCATACCGTCTACGTAGACTCGTTGACCTATGAAAATCAAAGACATGCTCCTTTGCTGTTAGCTAGTAGTAGCAGTAAATGTTAGTCTCCAGAGACGTAGAGACCGTCGTTGTACCTACTAGCAGCAGCTCACAGTTGCTTAAAAATCTGTGCTAGTAGTAGGTAATATTTCCTGGATCGGGTGGACAAGCATAGTCACCTTTTAAGGCAAGTATGGGTTGGTGAAGACCTGTTCTACCCCGGATCTTCACGGGTCTCAATATCAACTGCTTTTTATCAAAATGGCAAAACAGATTGATCCAGATCACACCTTTTTTTCAGACACTTCATGAGAATAGAAGACTAGTTATGAATAAGTAAAAATACTTTCATTGTTTTTCATAGACGTTAATAGTCATGAAACAGAGTTAGTTTTTACACTAAAACTGATCGAAACCTAGAATGACTTTCGGGGAATAAGCCACGGGGTCAACACACATCAAAGACAAACAGAGAGAGGATCTCAGGCAAAACAGTAATTCTTTATTAAATGTTTTCATCATCATCATCAAACACAAAGACATAATCAGACAAATAATTAAGCAGTAATACAAAAACTGTTGAGATATTCGTTGTTATTACTTGCCCGTGTGTAATACCAAAACGCGTGCTTATGTACTCTCGGAACACGTTTCACGAACAAAAATTGAAAGCTCTCAACATCCCTTGGCGTATTCAACGACATTGCGTGTGGAGTTGATAGATCACTGAGAGGAGCTTATGCACACTCGATGATCCCAGCAACCTTGTTGCTAGGCTGACGTCACATGGCATTGTTTCGCCGAAGGATCTTGCAACAAAATTCCACAAATTACGTCATCGGGTATTGTGAAGTGATTATAAACTTTGAGGTGCAAGGCCACATTCCACAAGGCGATCTCCCTGTAGCGCAACGACAGCCGTTGGTCTAGGTAAAAGTATGTGAGTTGCGATAACCTTAACGTTACGATCATTTTGTGGAACGGACGCCTGAATTCTAAAGGTGGGCCGTTGTATGGTATTAAATTCATACGTTTCAACTTTTGCCGTGTTTGAAGTATTATTCTGTTAAACTCAATTGGATTATGCCGTGGATCGTGTAGGTGTCAGCCTATTCACACACAACAGTATAATTCTAAAAACATTATAAATGGCAAGTAATAAATAAAATACTAAACTCGCTCCCGTGTAAAACCAATTTTATGAAACGAGTGAATAGTTGTGGTATCTGACGAGCGAAAGCGAGTCAGATACCACAACTATTCACTCGTTTCATAAAATTGGTATTACACGGGAGCTCGTTTAGTATTCTATATTTATATAATATAGGCATGAGTTAATAAACAATTGCTTGTTATGTAATTTCACTTTGAGAACAATGCATTAACTTCAGAGACGTCTCAGTACCTATTCAAGTTACTGCCAAATATAACATTGCATAAGATTACGTAAAACATTTATAATTAAAAATACCAATAATAAAAAATTGTAAAGTGTAAGCTCAATTCATTGGATATTCATTTATAACATAACAGTAAACATTTGCTATAATGCAGACGCATTGATAATTACTCATAATGTTTGGTATACATTTAAGGTACTCATAAATAATATCTGAACACCTTTCTTGAACAATGACATCTCTAATAACTTATTGTATGTTAAATACGGTACATGTGACGTCATGAACTACAGCTGATTCAGATGTACACTTCAGAGTTAATAGCGAATACAAGATTTAATACGGTAAATAATAATTGGACCCGCATTCAATGACTGAATACGCTATACTAAATTCAGATAACAGCTATGCGCAAAAATGGTTAAGTACGGTACGTGACGTCACTGGCGAGCCCTGGTGAGTGCGCCGTTACGTTTCAATGAGAGGTGCCGCCTGTGCATGCCGCTATGCGGGCCGAGCTTATACAAATCACACATGACTGAATATCGTATTTGAAACTTGAAATATATATGAATTAAAACTGATTATTAGTGAACATATATTCTATTGTGATTGTTTATGAACCTTATTGGAGATTTCGCCAAAACATAGAAATTGCTTGTGAACTGTAATTTAGAAATGGATATAAATGGATAGCAATTTTAGCACTGTTACAGTCACACAAATAATTCAACAACTCTGTTGATTTAGAAATAGTAAATAGCTATGTCTATCTTGTTATTTTGTTCCATCGAAAACGTCGTTTTGCATGTGCAATTAAAAATCTCGCTGATAGAGCTACAAAAGCCATGTTTTGTTCATTAAAAAAGCACGGAATTTATATTTACCTGTTGATTGTCTTCTCAAAGCCTTTGAAGTACTAATCTGGCCTATTTTAACCTATGTTTGTGAAACTTGGGGATACGAAAATCATTCAGTATTGGAAAGAGTACATATAAAGTTCATTAAAATTGCCTTCAATCTTAGAAACTAAACGCCAGATTATATGTTAAATGGGGAATTTGGGAGATTTCCAATAAGTATAAACATATATACGAGAATGATTTCGTTTTGGCACAAACGTATAAGTAATAATCGACCTGTTATAAAAAATTAAACTCTTATATTGACATACGTAAATTCTATGAATAATACTATTAACAAAGGAAAAAAATAGATTGAGTTTATTAGGAGCTTATTAAACAGGTGTGGTCTTTCTGTAGTATTTAATCAACCGGATTCTGTAAGTCAAGGCTGGTTAGTCTAAAAAATTGAAAACATTTTAAACGATCAATTTATTCAAAAATAGAATAACGATTTAACTACAAGCTCCAAAGCTTGCAATTATAGAATTAACAATACTAATAATTATTTCAAACTTGAACAATATCTTTTCTTATCATCAGAAATCTTTACTCCAATTTTAAAATTCAGATCCTAAAATAACAATTTGCCGATTGAGATATCCCACAAATGGGGTTAGACCACATTGACACAGACACAGTTTTTATTTGAAAGGAGGGATACATTGAGAGATAAAATGTTAAAAGCAATTTCGGCCTGGTAGTATTTTATTCTTGTTGGAAGTATGTCACCAAACATGCCAAATGAGTTAATTACCATGTTGTAATTATAATACCATTCCACTTACTAAATCTAATCGCTTAGAAAAATCCAAGATTTAAAGTCATGTATGCTTCAAAAGCGGCTGTTGTGTTATGAGACGACCATGCACTTGAAAACATACTATGCACTGTTTTCTTCGTTTTTCCGTGGAGGGCACGGGTGGCCCAGACGTCTAAGGCGCCGCGATTTGCTGTGCAGAGTTGCGTCCCTTGGGCACGCCAGAAACCTATGATTGTGGGTTCGAATTCCGGTTCGCCCAGATAATGTTTCTAGATTTGTCAGCACCATACCCGTGCTCGTGGGTTTCACCAAAGTGGTTAACGTCTGAGACCTGCATCACTTCGGGCTTTCCTCCCAAATAAAGCTGACACGCCGCGATATAACTGGAATACTGTGAAAAGCGGCGTTAAATCAAACTCACTCACTCGTTTTTCCGTTGTCCCCATCACACCCTATTTGATTATTTCAAAACTTATATACATGATATATTGGCATTGTTCTCAATGGTAATGCTTTATCCTTATGATACAGGGAGTGCAGTTCGTAATCACCTGCAATTTTATAAAACAGAGTTAACAGTTTGTAGCCCAGTTTCGAAAAATGGCAGAAAAAAGAGACAATGATATAAATCACAATAGTATGACTCAAGTGACATGCTGTGCATTTCCCGTATGACATTCTGTCGTACACAATCCAAGTCCAAGGTGGTGAGATTTAGATTCACATGCAGCGCTAAAATTTATATATTTGTTTAAACCCAAGCGCAAGTTCAAGCAAAGGTCACCGTCTCTCGCTCGTGATATACTCTGCCAAAAAAACAAAACGCAAAAAGTGACGCTCTCTCTCTAAAAAAAAACCCAAAACCAAAACCAAACGCACAGGTGAAATGTATGTGTTGAATTTAGTTCATGTTAATTGAAACCATGAAATAATTGTTTTCCACCGCAAATCATGCTGAATCTAAGTTCATAATCGTAACCAATCACCAAAACACACCACCTGATGAAACTCTAAACACGTCATTTTTCCAAATGCCGGAAATTTCACGTGGAAAAGGATTACAATGCGCGATGCACGTGCATATTGGGGACGTTGTGCTCCAAGATGAGGGGTATGAAGGGATGACACCAGGGTACATATCATTCGCCTGTTTGTGTTTTTTCCGAGACATTCGATATGCCAAGATTGCGTGCAGAAGACCGAAATATCGCCATTAGATGTCTGGAGACCAGAGAA